CTTGAGGAATCGAGGGTCGAAGTCTCTGTTGATGAAGTTTCTATTGATGATGTAATCTACCAGAGAAAGAGGCAGTAATCGATGTCATCGTCCATCTGTTTCAATGATCTCAAAGAGATAGGGGCACGTGACAAATACGGTCCCCCAACAGACAAATCCATTCATTATCCCGCAAAAGTTCAATACTCAATTTTTGTCCAGTTCGCTTTGATATCTTCTAATGTTTGGAGCCATGCCACGCCGAGAATAATTTCAATACCTCCAAGAGGAAATATATAGCAATCTAATGACATCGTGATTGATTGAAGGTGAATTGGTAAATTGCTATACTTCCCTGTTGCAGTTGCTCGACTGCCATCTCCTAAACAAACCACAACGTGGACTGTCTGCTCTATTGGTTGGGGAATTTTCTGAGCAAGTTTGGTTGAGATGAAGTTGTAGCTTGCCCCACTATATACCCTAATAGTGATTGGTTCACCGTAGACATGACCTGAAAATTTCATTGTTCGCGGTCCATCTATTCCACATATCGTCGTCAAAGGTAGATCTAGAAACTGGAGCTAAGCTTCACTGATTTCTGCTTGATGTTGTTGTGATCTAGTCCGAAGTTGAAGATCACATCAATGTTCTCATCTTTTGCTGCGATTGGAGCACGCAATGATTTTTTAGGGCAATCATGCATCGGGTTGTACGGTTGCTTACAACGAAAGCACAACCCCTTCGCATGCATGTCCAAATATTCTTGATGGGATTATTGGCGTGCCACTCTACTTTTTTGTGTTGTTGTGTTGTGTCGCAGTAGTTGGAAGAGGAACCTTTCTCGCCTTGAAGTAGTCTGAAGTGATCATTGGGCTTGTATTGGGCTGCAGAATTCTTATTTGGGCTGACTGTTGAGGTGCTATTTAGTTTTGGTGGTTCAAAACGAGATGGATTAATGGGCCTAGGTTTGAAGCCTAAACCATACCCAATAGTAAATCTTCTAGATTTGGAATTTAGGAAATCCAATTCTAGCTCAACTGACCGAGCAACTTTCATGGTCGTTCATAGATCGAGCACATCATATGGACGCAATTGAACCCTTATTTCTTCCTTGAGTCCATTTAATAAAAACCTAGCTGAAGTTGTGAATCCAGGACTGAGACTTGGGCTGCTCTCACTCGAAATTCATTGGCGAAATCATCCATAGATCCTGTTTGGTGTAAAGCAGCCAAGCATTCGCTGGGACTTGCTGCTAAGTCCCTGCCGAATTGGTCAACGAGTTCTTCATTTAATTGATCCTAGGTAATCATTAGAGATTGTTGATGGAGCCATCGAAGCCAATGGAGTGTTGCTCCTTCCATGCAGATGAATACAGAGGTAACTTTGAAGCTTTCCTTGGTGTGATGCACCAGAAAAAATTTCTCATCACGCACAATCCGTCCAATAGGATCAGTTCCATCAAAACACGGAATATCAATGTGTTTCAATGTGGATTTTAACTCGTCGAAAACATTGGCATGAAGTGTAGGTTTGTGGTGGTTGGATGTATTGCTCTCTGAAAAGATGTTCTCTGAAAAGTTGTTGTTACTGCTACTATTATTACTCAGTAGATCAATGATCTTGGATATTGTTGTTTCAAGTGTATTGAATCGACTGTCCATGTTGTTTCGCAGGTTGGTGAGTTTCTCACCTACAACAACTTGGCTCGTCTCCAACGTTGGCTCGTCTTCAACGTTTCAACACGGGATTCCATTAACGTTTCAAAACTTTATAATATTGCGTAAATATGCATTAACCCAAAATAAAATAGAGATAAATACTGGATATATCTTATTGTAACACCCCACCTTACTAGATAAATCAGAGTTGCGCATTTATTCGCAAAGTCTTTGAAAACTAAAACATTTTTACTTTGCGAAACTGATATGGGGTGCTACCGTGAAA